AAAAGGTTTTAGTACTGAGCAAATGAGAGAGGTGCTCAAAGATAACTCACAAGAGTTGCCCATTTGTGTTTGATTGATCGCACCTTCAAATATTCATTACTTTCTTATTTTCAATCAGTTTTGACTCAAACTTTCACCAACCATTTTCTCTCATTTTCCTGCTTCTATTAAAACCAACTTAATATCAGGGTGGACGTCCAATAGACGTCCCCCCACCCCCCCCCCCCCCCCCAAAAAAAAAATTACAAATCTTTTCTTCTTCTTTCTCTTGCAGAACAAGCAACAACCATCCTGCAGCAAGCTTTCTTAGTTGGAGTGCACCATAAGATTGATACCGTACCGCCTATTGCAGAGACCTTACAACTACTCTCTATGGACTCCACACCTACACAGAGTGCATCGTAGACACAGAAAGACCAGTGAAAGTTTATCCAACAGCAAGCTTTCTTAGTTGGAGTGCACCATAAGATTGACACTGTACCGCCCATTGCAGAGACCTTACAACTACTCTCTATGGACTCCACACCTACACAGAGTGCATCGTAGACATAGAAAGACCAGTGAAAGTTTATCCAACAGCAAGCTTTCTTAGTTGGAGTGCACCATAAGATTGACACTGTACCGCCCATTGCAGAGACCTTACAACTACTCTCTATGGACTCCACACCTACACAGAGTGCATCGTAGACACAGAAAGAACAATGGAAAACTTGTCAGAGCTCATTTTCTTGATAGGAGTGCAACATAAGCTGATACCGAACCACCTATTGCAGAGACTTACAGCTTGGTGAAAAATTTATCCAACAGAAATCATTCTTCATAGGAGTGCAACATAAGGTTGATACAGCTGATGTCTATTGACTCAACATTTATTTCGAGTGGGGAAGATAGATTAAGAACAATGGACTATTAATCTGAAAGAAAGCTTTCTTGTTTGGAGTACACCACAAGATGGTACCACAGGCACCAGTAGACTGCACTACCTATTGCAGAGACCTTACAGATGCTCCCTATGGACTTCACACCTACACAGCGTACATCGTAAAAAAAGAAAGAAATACAGTCAAACCTGCTTTAGTGACCACCTGTCTACAAAGACCACATTTTTTGTTACCCTTGAAAATGGTTTCTCTTTGCAACGTGTACTAAAGGAACCGGTACATAAAGACCACCTACCTTTAAAGACTTCCTTTCTTGTCTCCCTTTCGGTGGTCTTTATAGACAGGTTTCACTGTACATGGAAGTCCTGGTCCTATGTGCCATAACCTGTATGATAGCAGGTCCAGATCACTCAGAGGTTTTGATACCTATACTATAATAATATCTTCTCTCTCTAAGGAATCAATGATGCAATTACCCAGGTGTGTGATTGGTAAATAGATGAAATCAGGATTCTTGTTTATTAATTTTATTAATCACAAGTGACAATTTGAATAATCACCAATGATGGTACTCTCAAAGTACAGTCAAACCTGTCTATAGCGACCGCCCTAAGGAAACCCAAAAAGTGGTTTTTGTAGACAGGTTCCTTTTAGTACATGTTTTAATGAGAAACCATTTTCAAGGGGGGGGGGATGTGGTCTTTGTAGACAGGTGGTCGCTAAAGCAGGTTTGACTGTATCAACATTGTGATGCTGCATTTGCCATCTATGGACTCTACATTTACTACATTAGTGCATGGTACATTGTATATGGTAGAATAATAAACCTTGGCTTCTTGTCTATCTATTCCCTTATTCTATAAATTTCATTTACCCGGTAAACAAAAGCAAATGTTGTGATGCGCAAACAAGTCAACTGTCTGAGGTTCTTTACCTAGCCATAACATGCAGCAAGTGAAAACTGCTCATAACTGTCCTCTAATTGTCCTCTTGGATGATTTCAGTGTGAGTCAAACACGATCACAGATATTTCCGAAAATTAACTCATGGGCAAGTACAACACCCTCTTGTGTGTCCCATGTGTAGATTATGTAATGCATCATTGTCATGTTCGCACATTTCAATAGGTGACGCACATGGCTGTTGAACAATTTTGAGAGTAGTTATCATCTTGTTATTTTCATAGGGAGGAAACAGCAATGGTTATTATGCTATTTTTACGTCATATCTAGTGATGCCTCGTATTGATGTTAACAACATCATATTTGAACATTTGAAATAAAGGTGGAGATGTCTTCTCATGTTCTGGTTTGTATTTATAGAATGCCATTTTCTTTACATACTCACAATATCCTATGTGATGTTACCTGAAGTTATCTTCAGTATTCCATATTATTTACATAATGACTGTTTCTTTTCACAGAAAATCTACATTACATGCATGTGATTAAATCGTTTGATCAAAAAATGTGTAATGTTAAAAAGATTATGGACAGTTTAAATAGACTGTAGTGTTATAAAAACCGTTAGGAAAATGGAAAATGAACTTTCGATTTCCAATCATATATATATCTCGATAATTAGGCAGGCGATCGGCTTGTAAAAGTCATGGGATTCCTGACTGACTTAAAGGTTTATAATCATGATTACAGCATGAGCTAAATCCAGGATTTTGTTTCAGAATCTGAGGCAATGTTACTGAGCCACTTTAAACATATTTATGACCTTCACCCAGTAAATAATAAAGATCGATTGATCGATCAGTTATTGACCAGCAATGGCCTGGTGGTAGAGTAGCTGCTAGGCAAGCAGTGTACATCAGATGGCAGGTTCAAATCCCGCTGGTTCCAAGATTTTTCTGACTCATTTTCAATTACAGATCGATCAATCTATCTTTATTTACTGGGTGTAAGCCACAAATATGTGTTAACAAAACTATCATTATATAACAGGTAATTTTCCAATCCCACTTCTTTGTCCTGTTGTTTGTTTGTTCTATCCTACAGGTTTACTTGTTCATTTCCTATTATGTTGTATATACTGTCATGTGAAATGTCTTCACAGTTCTTGTACAGATTTCTTTAATATTAATTTTTCAGTTCATACTTGAATAAAGTGGACCTGTGCACTGTATATATTATTTTCAGAGAATATGCTTTTGTAATAAAAAAAAAAACAACATGAATTTATTAACGGTATGTTTGTCTCTTGTTTTGGGGAATGTGAGTATCTTTTTTTTTAAATATCTAGCACAAAAACTTTCTAGACTTTCAACACCCCAACAAAAACATCTTCTCCTCATACTTTGGTGACCATTTCATAATCATTACATATTAAAATCATGGTTCTAGGACGCCTAACCCCTGGACATCAATTCCCCCCGGATACCCCACCCCCCCCCCCCCCTCCCAGTCAACTACCCCCTAAGGCAACCATCCTCTAGGACAACTATCCTAGAGGTAGTTGTCCCAGGGGCTAGTCGTCCTAGAGGGTGGTTGCCCTAGGGGGTAGTTGTCCTAGAAGGTAGTTGACTAGGGGTGGATGTCCAGGGGGTAGGTGTCCGGATATGTAAAATCACAGCACAGCATTTAGGATATTAACCAATCAACATCTTCCTTCAAGAAACTATCACCTTAAATTTGATGCTAATGGTAACAAATGTTATACCAGTACATATTATATAATTCCCTAACTAAGCTGGAGGGGTACTGAATATTGATTCTTGCTAATTTTATAGTTTGTGAGAACAAAAATTGTCCATTAAAATGAGAAGTGAATATAACATAATTGCCAAAACACTCCAAATTCACTTTACATATACTGGGTATTTATTTACAAAATATAAAAACTGTAACACACTGTTTTTTCGGTCTTGTCATTCTTGGTTCTGTCATTTTATTCCTTGGAATCAAACAAAAGTTTATTAAAGAATAAACAGAAGTTACTAATACTATGCATTTTACTATGGTAGACAGAATTTTTTAAATGCTAACATTTGTCACCAAAATTATCCCTGCGTTGTTAATAATAAAACATGACTTGGGCTTTTTCTCTTTCTACTTTTGTACACTTTTTATTTGTTTACAGTATCTATATATTTGTTTAAACTATTACTTCCTTTGTAGTAATATTGAAACAAAATTATATGAATCAATTTCAATTATCGCCTATCACCGGAAGAGTTATTTTTAAGGTATAATTTGAACATCGGTAAAACAAAATAATACTGAAACTGGGTACCTCAGCCTATATCCGTATCTCTTGTAAATACATCTCACCACAATGACCTTTTTGAAAGTCTCGTTTCCTCTTTCTACTCGAGTAGAACTGGGTCCCTTTACCCCTTTCCCATTTTCAGATTCTTGCGCTATTGTGGCCATCGAAGCTTTGCTTTATAATGCTAACAAAGAATAGATGATTATGACGTCAGATAAAACGTTTGACATCTCTGTATTAACGGTGGCAAATCTCCGCAATCTACGCAAGAACCCCGGAGATAGAGATTGATGTTCTATAGTTTTAGGATACAGAAACATTCCTTGGCAATAATTCCCTTTCAGCCCTACTCTAAGAAGATTATCCAGCATTGTTGAAAAAGTCTATACCGGCCTGACGTCATCTTCTAAGATTTAATTGTCTCTTCCGTATAACTAATTGGACCTACATCGAGAATTAGGTTTATTAAGGACCATGGCAGTGGTTCAGCAGGGGTCCAGCCATTATTATTATTATTATTATTATTATTATTATTATTCGGGGCATTTAATGTCTTTTTAGGTTGATGAGTGTCATCAAATGAGGAGTGTGGTAGGGGATCGTATAATAAAAAATTCACGTAATTGCATTCCCCATTATTTCCTTTTATCTCTTCTCTCCCTGCTACATATATGCCTATATTTCGATGGTCAACATGGTACATTATGCCCCCGCCCTGTATCGCCTCTACAGTGTTAAAGCGCAAATATTTAAAAAGATAATCTCGTTCTGTTATTTCTTTGAGGTCAATATAGGACATGCGAGTAATACAGGGGATTATAATTGAAAATGGGCCTACTTCCATCCCCTACAAAATTCAATTGTCTTTTTTAATATATTTTGTAGAAGCCCTTGAGATAATATTACGAGCTAGTTTAATTTAGTATTTTTGTTTATAATTCGGAAAGACCCATGAAGGCATGATCAATCTCAGAGGAGTGCGCGAGAGGTGCGGATTGACCACGCCCTTGCAACTGATAAGACTAGAGGGGCAATAATCTCATGCATTGGGGAGATGCAAGATCCTATCTACAAATGGAGTTTTACAAAAGCGACGGCAAAAATACACCCATGTGTTTAACAAACTTGACATGTCCTTAAACCTTTTGAAAATCAACATAAACAAATCGATATCAAAACGCAGCCCCGCAATGCTCTGGTACCGCCTACCAACGTGGAGCAATGCACAGGTGCACTCAGCGCAGTCAAATGTCAAACGGCTGCTCAACCCCCCGTTCGCGACGTACGCTGTAAAGTACTGTACAGTCGACTAGAATGTATTGGTGTACCAAGGAGTTCAGGTACGCTTCAGACATCAGACCACCTTCATCATCATCATCTTCGTGTGTCGACATCGATGATAGACATTAGATCTTGCAGTCGGAATATCTCTTTCCGCAGTTTACAAACCAGTTACATGTACGTAAACGCTGAGTCGAAGCCGCTTCCAAGCGCAAGCAACGACAAGCGATACCATTTGGAGGCTGTATACCGGTTTGATTTTGAAGTCATCTCGTCTCGGCTCCTATATCGCCGAACTCGAAGGTAACATTTTTTCTACGCCAAACTGCGGCACTTCCAGCAGGCCTAATCATAAATTTGGCCCGGTGACCTTTTCCATCGGTGCCAGACAATGAAGGATTCTACTCGTACCGGGAAGCCATTGAATTGAATTTGGAGAGTGGGGGAGGATCGACTAACAATAGCATCCTATTAATTCGCACTAGAATCATCTCACCAACGACGTCACATCACATTTACAAAAGGAGATTAAACCCGCCCTAATTAAATTGAAAAGAAGGGCTTCCTAAGTTCTAGCTGGCTGGTTTGTGTGATCTTGTTGGCAAGGACCACCATACCCGGATCCACTCTTTTATTTTATCTACTTCCCGATGGTGGGTGCCTGCAAAAGTGAGGAAGGGGAAGTCTACACTACAATTCATGAGGTCTTGAATAATACAACATCGTGTGTTGCAGATATTTGAAGTCAAGTCGAGAACTGGATCTTCGTTTAGAGTTTAAACTCCAGTTTCGAGCATTAGATGAAATGTGAAAGTTTCACACCATCATTACTTCATTAGTTATTGTTTTCCTTGGAAACAGAGTAAAACTAAAAGCAACAAGCAAGGTGATATCCACAGTGGTTGGGAGTCATGTTTTAGATTCATTATGATTTGAAATATTTGTGTGATATTCATCATGATTTTAAGTACCGGTAAGATTGAACTGATGTGACTGAGGTCCGGAAATGACAAAGCTAAATTGACCATAATCAGTGTCAAATGGTGAACTATTCCCAAGATGGCCCACATATTTGGGAGTCTTCTCGCAAACGGATACCATGTCGTCATTCTAGGCTTGGATTCGTCCGGTAAAACTTCAGTTCTCTACCGACTCAAACTGGACGAATATGTGAACACTGTCCCAACCATCAGCTTTAACACCGAAAAGATCAAATGTAAAAAAGGGTCGGCCAAAGGATCGACGTTCAAGTTCTGGGACGCGGGCGGAGCAGAGAAGCTACGTCCTCTATGGAAATCCTACACCCGAGCAGCCGATGCGATTGTGTATGTTGTTGACAGCACGGAAAAGGAGCGTTTTGATGAAGCCAAGTTTGAATTGTTCAAAGTGGCACAGCGTCCGGAAACGAAAGGCGTTCCCATTATGTTGATCGCGAACAAGCAGGACCTGAGGCAAGCGGTTGGTGTATCGACCATCGAAGAAGCATTGACTATACCAGCGCTTAGAAAACAGCAACATACGGTGAACGTGCTCGCAGGATGTGCGTTAACGGGAGAAGGATTTGAAGACGTTCTCGACACCTTGAAGGAAATTATTGATAAGCATCGGAAACTCCTGAAGCAACAGAAGAAAGGGAGATAACCAATGCAGGAGAAGGGTGGGCAGAGTTACCCTCTTTGGGGTAACAGCTCTTCAGTATCTTTCTCAGTCGTTTTACACAGCATTTTTGTGCCCCCCACATAGCCCGCCTTTTGAAATGTTTGTAACCTCATACATGTATACATTGTAGATGTAGCATTGTGTTTTTGCTGCCTTACATATAATCTATTGTACTTTGTAGCAGTCCTTGAAATGTACGAAGTTGATCAAGCTAGTGCACCATTTTTAAGTGGATTGTGTGTGAGAAAAGTCACTCATGAGTTATTATACCGGTACAAGTGTTGTGTATCTTAGTCACATCTGCCAATGAGGCTTGGATTGAGATACTTTCTCAGAATCTCTTTTTTTAAATACTTACACTACCTTGAAAATGTGTGACACACAGTACACTATGTAGAACCTTGGGTTTTTTGTTTTGTTTTGTATTTGTTTTTAAAATAATTACACTGCCTTGATAGTTGTAACACACAGTACATTAATGTAGCACCCTTGGATGCACCTTTGCCATTCATTTTAAATGATTACCGTAAGTCTAGGTTGGTTAATAAGCTTTTAAAATGTGTGTGTTTGGTATTTTTCCAACTGTCTTCAAAGTAGTGCCTGTAAATGTAGGCCTGTTCATTTATCAATCCTACATCCAACTGATAATTTATCCTTGAACAATGTGTTTAGCCTAAAAAACAAACCTGTGCATATCACTTGTACGAAGCAATCATTTGAATACCGGTAATGGAAAGTGAACATTTGCAGTGTACCTTTGTTCCAGTTGCTTATTTACCTGGAACATGTATATGAATGCGCAAAGGAGTTGAAATATTTGTGAGAATGGGCATGTCTGAGATGCTCACTGTTTTACTGTACAATGTACATCATATTTGACCTTATAATACTCAGTTAGTGCACTTTTGTGTATCAGGATGTACAGTTCCGTACTCTATAACAGTTTAAAGACTAATTGTGTAGACGTCATAAACTCTTCTTATCGCATACCAGTAAATTTCTTCACAAAAGTGCACAAGAACAAAATACATGAATTCCCAACCCTCTATAGTCTATAGAAGGAGGAAATGGATAGTGGTTGCTTAAGCTGGATTACCGTTACAGCCTGACGGCCCATTCCGTGCAAACATTTAAGAAAATGTTCTCTTTTGAATCCTTTCATTTCTGTATTGCAAGTTCTCAGAATTGTATCGATTGTTAAAAGAACAAATTTATCATCCAAACCAGTGCTTAATAGTGAAAATGATGAGAATTATAGTTTTATGTGTAAATTGTACATGTAAGTAATAAATACTAGTAATGCACACACAAAGTGCTATGATTATTTGAACAAATAGGCAATTTTTCTTTTATATTCTCTGCCCTAGTTGCCTACAGACAGTCACAGAAAGCACACTTGAAGTGCATGATCAGACACAACACAATGCGTCAACTCATCAAAGGATTCGTTTCAAAGAAAACATATCAATCGGCACTGCACCGTGACACCCTATCATTGTTGAAACTCCACTCACCTAAAACCACTTCTTTCTTTACTATGTTATAGTTACTATAGTTACTACAAAAAACTAAAAGAAGAAATAAATCACAAATTTCTAGATTGAAATGCTCTGCTAATGATGCAAAGCCATGGGAATATCTGTTCAGGCAATTACCCTGACCATCAACCCAAAAAGGTGATTAAAAATCTAAATTGCAATTTTTTGGTGGCCATGCATCAAAAACAATATTTAGTAGCAATTTGCTCATTATAGCATCTGGTGTCCTCTTTAAGAAGTAGATAATGAAGGTGGTACATGTACTTGTACACTAAGTATATTAGTAGCTTAATTGCTGGCCAAAACTCTTGAGAGTCATTGTGCGTTAATACAGTGTCTGCAGTCTCCATTATGAGACTACAATGGGCTCTGTACTTTACCTGCTCATGCCAGAATTTTACAGATTTATCTAAGGGTACGTTTATGCTCAGTTTTGAAGGCAGAATGAGCGATTTGAAACGCTCATCGTAAACGCTCAATGTAATCGCAGTTCCACGGTTCCACGACAGTTCCACGCAGTTCCACGGTGTACTGATTATGAATCAGGCATGATTCTGGCTCAGAGCCAGAATCATGCCTGGAGGAGGCAGAGAAGTGCAGTGCAGAGTCTGCAGCTTGATTCGCACACCTGCACTGCGCATGCTACGTTGACCCCATTTAAACGCGTTTACAAATGATTCTGCGTTTATGCTTCCCCAGAATCACCAATCGTAAACGCACCTTTTTGTGAGTTTAGGATCAGTGATTATGATCGCTGTTTTTCTGTGATTCTACAAAAATGAGAAACGACGCAACCGTGTTTTGAACTAAACGCGTAATAGATGCCTCATTTTGGCCAGAAAAAGTTGAGCATAAACGTACCCTAAGCTCTTAGAGTTGTCCTTGACTAGACTAGAATATTGGTATGGACAGATATGGAGTTTTAGTAGGGCCTCCATGTTAAGATTGATGGTGCTTGCATGATCTACATCAATCCCGACCAACTATCCAGCTAATTTGCTACTTCATTCTAATGAAGACGCAAATTAGCTGGATAGTTTGCGATCGGGATAGTTCAAGTAGCTGGATATTTGGCAATCTCGAGATAGTGCAGACACGCCTTACATGTACAGTAAAAACTATAATGTTCATTCACTACACTTCTTACTGGGTGGTCGCCACTCAATCATTTTTAGAGAGAGCATCATAAAAAAAATAGTCCTTGGCCCTTGACCATGAAAAACAAACCCTGCAAAAATATTGCTCGTAGTATACCAGTAATCTTTGTTCATGTTGTTCTCAAGAATACTATTCTCACCTTCTGTAAACGAAACAATATTATATTCCCAATAGTCATACAATGTCAAAATATTTAGTTTATCAAGCTGTCTTTCCTAACTGTTTGGAGAGTACATGTACATTTTATGACATAGGACCCTAGGAAAGCCTAGAAATGTTCTTTGATTTACAACCTGGCCCTGGGAGTGGCACAATTTGCTTGTTCAAGTTGTTGTCCGCCTGCAGTTTACATTGAATCTTTTCATATGAAGGCTTACTCATTTATTGAATGTTCTGTTTGAAGTCACATAATTTGGCAAAACTGTCATATTCAATTCAATTCAATGCCAGACTCAGCTGCAAGAGCAGAGGTCCATAGGGGGTACCATATTTACATCTACATGTACCGGTATATAAGCGTAGGCCTAATCTATTCATATAGACCTGCATGTTTATTTAATAGTTTAAAATTTAGATAGTTTGGCAAAGTTGGTATTATGATTTTAGACTCCATTCTTCAGTGTAAACATGTACTTCTTAATTTCAAACTTTGATCTATCACTGTAAATGCAGATTGCACTTTGAACGAATTTCGTTTTGCAGATCGGGGTGCTAATATGGTCATACGACATACATGGACTTCATGTTCAACTTTCATGTTTGCAGTGTGATGAAAAGAGATTGCGCCATTTAAATTTGCTTGGAATTTGTACCAGTAAATCATGCTATCTCTCAAGGAACACAAGTATGAAATGTATGGCAGATCTCTGCTTGAAACATACTTGTACATATATGCATGGCCATCATTCGTACCAGTATAAATACAAAAACATATCTATGAACCTTTAAAAAGAAAACCTGAGCACCAGGAATGACATGCCATACTGCATGATATATCATTTACAAGGATAAAAAGCAAAGGAAACATATGTTTTTTACTTTTTGTTTATCACATCGATGACAGACACTTCGACATAAATATCACATTGGATTTGAAACCAGGCTTGTAATTCACGGCTAAACGATCAATCATTATGGTGTACTCCCGCCTAACTCCCAGCCGATGAAACATACCAGGTTTTTTATGAAGTGGTTAAAGAATAAGATTTATCGAACCTATCAAGTTTGACTTTTAAGATTTTTAGACAGTCTGCCGACAATTTCGACAAACACGTCTTTTGTAGAAACTGTGCATGTAGATAATAGTCAAATGATGGTTTAAACCTCATTAAATATCCTTTCTTATCCAAATGATTATACTATTAGTTAGTTAGTTTCTCTCTATTTCTCTCTTTCTTATAATGTACATACAGAAAATGAACAGGGAGTTTTCATACACATTGTACTATGTACATCTGCATTACAAAGTCTGAAATCAAGTTTTATTTTTGGAGATGTTGAAGTTTTCATTTTCTAACTAGGAGATTGGGAAACTGTATATCACCCAAATATTGTTTTGTTTTTTTTAATTCTTTTTACAATAGTGCAATAATGTTTCACTGCCTTTTATTTTGCCTACTTTTATATTCAGTGATTCCATTCCATTTTACATTTCGATTCAGGTTTAATTTCTCCTCCACCCCTCCTTTTTCTCTGTGTCTGTCTGTCTGTCTCTCTCTGTCTCTCTCTCTCTCTCTATCTCTTTCTTTTTCTCTCTCTCTCTCCTCCTCCCCTCCAGCTCTATGTCCCCTTTCAGCATTGCCATAGTCAGAGATGTTCAGTATAGCATAGAATAGCTAAGAGAATTACTTGTATTTTTGCCATATTGAGCAAGCTAAAACGGGCATTACCGTATTCAACCTCCCTGTACTGTTTCATTTGCTGCACACACTAAGCTCTGATGAATTAACTTGAAAGCTTCATGTTTATTTTTAACTCTAGAGAAAGCACCTTCTTTACCTCAATCCCTTCTACAAATGAATGGGTTTCTGTCGACACTATTTACCCAAGTCTCTGGACCCTGGGCAATTTAATACCTCTATCCATTTGCAAATTAGGGGCTGATGAAGGATAGATTCTGAATGGAATACCCATGGCCATGTACTTTTTGTTCGGCGATGAATGATTCTTAAATTGTTCTTACTTCACTCTTATAGTTATACTGATTTGTTGGGTCGGTGGGTTGCCTTGAAAACAAGCCTGCTGTATTTGTGTCCTTGTATTCTGTCCAAGACTCCAATACTGTTTTCACACTGGCAATATTTTGCTTAACCCCGTACTATAGGTGGGGTTAAGGGGGGGTCTTAGCCCCACCTATAGTACGGGGTTAAGCCTATTCCACTTTCTGTTCAGACTGGTTTTTACCAAAGTGGGCTAAAGTTGGCTAACCCCACCTATAGTACGGGGTTAACTAACCCTGCAAAATAGCAGGGCTAACTCCGCAATTGTGGTGCTAACTCCTGCTAACCCCGCAATTGCAGTGCTAAGCAAATGAATGAGAACAGAAACGAAAAATAGTCCGGTACTACGTAATGGAGCGTATCGCAGCTGGCCAGATGCGAGGTATGTCCAATCATAACATACGCGATATCCGGGGTTAACGAAATGCAGTGAGAACAGCGGGAATTTTCTTATTCCGGAATAGGCGCTAGTACGGGACTAAAAACAGCGAGTGTGAAAAGCCAAAAAAATAGTCCGGGGTTAAGGATAGTACGGGGCTAAGCAAAGTACGGGGTTAAGCAAAACCAGTGTGAAAAGAGTATTATAGTTATACTGATTTGTTGGGTCGGTGGGTTGCCTTGAAACCAAGCCTGCTGTATTTGTGTCCTTGTATTCTGTCCAAGTGTCTATAGACTAGAGCACAGATGTACTAGCCTGCAATTATTGAAATACTCATGGGTAGGATACTTCTTGGACTGTGAGTGACTCAAATAGTGCAAATTACAATTTTTTGATATAAATTCAGGGTTGCCAATTGCTATCAGATAAGCACAGTACAATCAAGGAGGTATCCTCCTGCCTCCTTGGTACATTAAGCTTGAATCATGAGGTATCTCTTCATCAGCTCGAGATTGCCAAATAGCCTGCTATTTCTGATTTTGGAAATAAGCCTGAAGTTCAAATTGCGTCCTCATCAGCTCGAGACTTGACCTCTGGAAATTAGCTCGAGATTTTTTGCTCAGCGTTCACGCATTGAGCAAGTCTTCGGCTGGTGACGACGCACCAGACAAATAGCCCAAGATGAGATAATTATCTCGACCAAATATCCCGCTAATTGCAACTGCGGGCTGATGAAGACGCAAATTAGCTGGATAATTTGCAATCGGGATAGTTCAAATAGCAGGTTATTTGGCAGTCTCGACCTGATGAAGACAAGCTTAAGGATGCTTGAATGAAGGTGTACAGGTTTCAAACTGAAACTCGGCTGATTATGTAACACCTGTTAAGAGCCAAAAGGGTGTTGACTCATTGTTAAAGTATATGATTTTACCATATATATGGGTCCACAGGAAAGGGTTTAATTCTTCATATATTTAATGTGAATATATAACATTTCATCATTACATCTAAATACGTGTATTTTCTGTGAAACATGCAGAGATGCCATTTCTGGTCATGCTGTACACTGTTGAGCTCGTAATACAATGTACATGTAGGTCAAATTTGAATACAGGTGTGTGCTTGAAATTAAATTGAACTATTGTAAAGCAGCAAATCCAGCAATGCATTGTACGCCATACATGTACTGTACATATGACCGTATCCTCTCATGCTATTACCATGGACCTACTACGAAGTAGGTCCATGCTATTACGGTACTAACTCAACTGTGTGGCTTTTTTTTCCAGAGCAATAAATTCACCATGCCATTGTAATGCTGATTGTGACTGAATAGACCATTAAACACAGACATTTACTTATAAGAAGCGATAGCTGTCTCTCGCTATTTTCATGATTCTAAGAATTGCTTACAAGTGCAGGGATAAGATTGAGTTGTCAGTAGTTGTCAGCATTTGTTGATTGCAAAAGTACCTCAGCCTTGTAGTTATTTTGCATTATGCTTTAGACAAGCATACACACATACATGTACAACCATGAAGAAAAAAAAATCATATT